GTGTGTGTGTGTGTGTGTGTGTGTGTGTGTGTGTGTGTGTGTGTGTGACATAAGCATCTCACTATACTGTACACTGCGGTGCATATAGTGTTATGCGACAGACTGCCACGCTGCGGAGGCTGCACAGCTCAGCCCAGTATGGACCAGCCTAGCTCAGCTCAACCCAGCCGGCACTAATCCATCATCGCCACCACTGAATCACTACGCTGTCAATAAAGGCAGGTGGCAATACATTACAGACATGTGGCAGGCTTTAGTGCTAATGACATTGAGAATTCTCCTTGGGCTGTAGGGGGAAAAAAAAGCCAGAACGCGTGACACTCTTGCTTACAGAAGCAATATTATATGGAAATGCAGACATGTGTGAGAGGCAAGGGAGAAGGCTGGAGGGTGAGGGAGTGAGGAAGTGGACTTTAGTGACCACTTTCTCATCAGTTTCGAACAGACCATCCAAATCCTGGAGCTCAATGATCAAGCTCCAGCCTCTGGAAATAAGCCATGGTACAAGCAATCAGATATGTCAACATTATATATATATATATATATATATAAACTTGTGAAAAAATAAATTAAATGCGTTACTGCTTAAATACAGTATTGTGGTTTGGTTGTGATTATTTATGCAACTCTGGTATTTTGTAGCATTTTGTGTGACAGGAAGAAACTAAATGAGAAAACATGCTGCATCTGTGGCTGCAAAAAGAACAATTGTCCTAAAAATCCCTCACCGTCACACAAACATCATTCACCACTGCACCAAATGTAAAACTTAAATCTAAAAGATGTGCTATGGGAAATAAGGTTTTCAAGGCAGTGTTGCTCAATGAGGTACAACACCACAGCTCATCTGATTCTGTCTGTCCGAACATCTGCCTGTCCTAAATGGCGTCAGGACTCCTGGGTGACACATTATAAAAAGTAATCTTTGCAACTAGGAAAATCTCAAACTCTAATTTGACTTTCTGCATTTAAATTAAAAGTTTACTGTGGCTGAGAAATTTGCATTAACCTAGGGGTCATTAGGGTTTTATAGAATCCGTTCAGCAGACACAACCGCCATTTGAAAAGAAAATCTCTAGTTAAAAGATATTACAGAGTAAAAAAAAAAAACATTTCAGGTCAAAAATGGGTTTGGTTTTGTAAGCTATTGGACAGTTTAAATTTTAATTTTTATTTAGCTTTAAAACATAATTAAGTAATATTAGTATTTATGAAAAACTGATTTGAATTAAGATTGTGCAGTCCATTTATTTGGTAATGTTTACATGGTTTTCCAAAATCTTGCAGGTTTTCTCTGGGTGCACTGGCTTCCTTCGCCCAAAAAAAGTAATAATACTTTGACCCTAAGAGTAAACGTGAGCGTATGAGGTTTTGTTGGCCCATCGACCTTTCTGAGGTGTACACATCCCCTCTGGCCCCGTGACGCTACTACCGGCTTTTTGCCCTGAACAGGACAAAGCAGCAGGTTTGAGAAAAAAAAAAGAATTAGAGGTCGATGAAAGGCATTCATCTTTGAGGCGAACAACTACATCGTGTGTCTCTTTAGCTCAAATATCCTTTTGTTGGGGAGTAACATGTTATCATTCATAGAATACTAAACAAACAAAGCAGAAAATGACACAATAAAAGTCCAGAGGTTTGTGCTGATAGAATAAAAGTCTTGATTTATTTCTGTTTATCTACACATTAAACAGGTGTTCCTGAATGCAGCAAGAGAAAACACAGAACAGGATGCTAAGCGTCAAAGAGTTGCTCGCATAGCAGAGGTGTGGCTGGTTTAGCAAAGACATTTACACTGAATATCTCACACATCTGGAACATTTTCTGTAAATGTAGGGGTGCCACTTGGGAGGTTACAGTAGGGATTGTTTACTGCAAATGTCTCGAGTCTTTTTCACATTGTTATGCCATCTGGAAAATACTCCATAAAGTAAAAACCCTGTCGTTCCCTAATGATAACTGCGATAATTTTCTAACTATAATGTGTATAGAGATACCAAGCAGCCCAGTATAGCTGGCTTTACTTTAAAATGTAGAAGCTCTGTATGGATTTGTCATATCGCCGAGTTCCATTAGACTCAATCTCAAGGCTGCGCAGACATTTTCAGCTCTTTTTCGCTTTCTGTCTCTGTAATTGGCCCTCTACCCAACAGTGATGTGGTAAAAAATTAGTCAAGACCTGCATAGGAATTCAACTACACACAACTTCTCAATTAAACTTGTCACAACTAACCTTTTTTATACAACAGTCCCAAAAAAAATGGCTTTAAGTGCTTCCATGAAATAAGCTGATGTGTTTTTTTGAACACAAATAACTCACAGTAGAGAGGCGCTAGCATAACAGTTTATGTTCACAAACAGAGCTGGGTTTAAGAAAAAGAGAAAAAAAAAGCAGAAAGCGTGGCTCTCAAACACTTTGGTGCAGAAAACATTGAACAGGTCTCAATGAGCAGGGTAAAAGAGCATGTAATGCACTTTTGTTTAGACACTAATTAACACAAATGAAACTGAAGACTGCAGTCAAATCTGCTAAATAATATTGACACAAAGAGATGCAAATAGAAAATTTAAGATTATATTGGAAAATATATATATAAAAAATGTTCCGGGCAATAAGCAGAAACCAAAACATAGTACCTTAAAGACTGAGTAAGCCCCACATTTTCACACATTCTTGAAATCTGATTCTATGGGTTTTATTTTCTTGAATCCCTCATCTAAAAGAAAAACTTAAAACCTGACTCAAACAGGACATGGTTTTGGTGAGGGCCTCAGCTACTGAAACACTCGAATCCCACAGAGCAAAATCTGTCTGGCCCACACAACACACTCACCCCACACAGAATGATGGCCCAGATGTAGCTTTCCATAGATGTCCATGAATGGGCCTGCACAGCATAAACCAAAGCACAAGTGGGCCAGTTGTGGCACACAATCTTAAAAAACAGTGTCATCATTTCCACATCTGGGTAATGAACCTATTGCCATGCCAGCAGTGCTGGACTGACACCAGATCTGGCCCGCACCTGTCTGCTATGTGGGATTAGTGTGAACTGTATATCATATATGACAATCTGACCATTTAAATTTAAAAGGTCATTTGTGAATTCATAGCCACGTACTAACCATAAAACAACCTGATCTATCGTAAAAAATGCATGCTTTTTAAAATGGACAATGGAAGCAGATGCATCCACCTAAAATCAACATCTTCTGAGGTACTTATGAAGCTTGAGATATAATCACTATCTACAGATATTTGGATGGATAGCATATATTTGATACACACGGCAGCATTATTAGCCTCGCACAAAATTTTGGCTTCAAATTGGATTAGCTGAGGGGATAGCGGCGGTTGACACACCTGAATAAAACACAGCTGTATGACGATAAAAACATAGAAAAAACAGCACCATTTGAGGTCCGATAGATCAGTTTTCAAACTGTTTGCTGGTAGCACCATCAACCAGTAAAAATCTCAAAATGCAATACAGAGACAGAACACGACCAGCGATCAACTGCACAACATAGCAAAGAGCGAAGATATATATTCGGAGACGACCCCCCCTCACACAGAAACCCCTTTACAGCAGCATTTTTAAGCAGGTAATAAAACTGATTCCTCCTAAGAATGATATATGTGTATTGAGGTGTTTTACAAGATTTATATGCTGTACATTTAAGAGTATTCAGGTATAACTTTTCCTATAGATTTTTTTTTAATATACACACATAGTTTACAGTCACTGACAAACACCAGAGTAACAATGAGGTAGGACGGTGAAGTTAGATGAAGTAGAATCAGTTTGTGGATTGTATACAAAGTTACTGATACCTTTAATAAAAATATATGCCTAACTTTTTTTTTCCATTATGACGTATGTTTGACATTGTATCTGAGGCTCAAACAGTAATGTGTCTGGTTTACAATGCAGCTCTGCAAATTGCAAGAAGCTCTCTCATTCCAAGAGTGAAACTAATTTTTCAATCACGCAGCTCCCAAACCAACACATGTAAAAGGTGAAACAAAGCTCCCCCACTTTTGAAGCTCTGCTATTCGCAGCATAAGCCATAGCACACCTTATCTTGATGCATATGCATTAATAAATCTACTCAAAGGTTGGACTTGAGAACGAGAGGTGGAACGTGGAAGAAAAAAAAAATCAACAAAGAGCAAGAGAGTTGATGTTTCCAACAGTTGATATTTGAAGAGCCAAATTATCCAGCAAATCTAATAATGGTTATGACGGGCTGGGTGAATAATTTGCTGCAAAAACCAACACTGCTGGTCTGCTCGTACGTTTGAACTAGATTGGCCTCGTTGTCCAGATTAGGCTAAATCTGGGTTAAAACCATCCTGAACTTTCTTACAGCTTTCATCCAATGCAGATGGTTCAAGTTAAGAAAAATAGGCTAAATCGAGCCACAGGAAACCAGAGTTTTAGATGATGCAATGGCTCCATAAATGCTTTAAGCATCGTATAACCACACCCTCTTTTGGCATTGAAAAAACAAACAAGAAAGCAACAAAGAAAACAAACACAACACACATGAATTCATCCGAGTTCAGTAAGGTTGCTTTCCACAGCAGAAACCTTTTTTTCCTTTTAAATTGCATGTATTTTCAATACACCCTTGTTCATATGAAGCTTATGTCACTTTGTACAGGGAAAATAAAACAAATCTAAAAAATAAAATAAAATACTGGGGGAACCCAACAAAAAACAATAACCATTTTTAAATTCTAAGATCCGTTACCTTGGCATTAACCATTTTTTGTGCAAAGCCAGCTGATTCATCAGTCTACATCCTACTTCTCACAGTTACCACTCATTTATAATACATAATTCATAGTAATTCATATTTTTACATTGCCAGCATGTAGACATATTAAGTTTAAGCACAGTTTCCAGTCAACTTGAAAATTTCATAGGTAAAATCTTTCAACTGGTTAATCCTGATTTGCTGCTGTTTGTTGCTCGTAAGCCTTTTTTTTCAAAAAAAGGTTGCAGATTCCAGTTTTAACAAAAATGATTAAAAACTATTATAAAATTTGCCATTAAATATTAAATTTGGGGTGATTAAAAACAGTATGTAATAACTCAATTTTGCCTTAAACGTAAATGTGATAAGGTGCTTTATAATAAAATTATTTAAGATGTAGATTCTAAAAACATAAGACAATCATCACGTTTCTTTAAAATTAAAGAAATTGAACAGGAATTTAAAGTGCGTTCAATGTAAATGATTTCAGTTGATCATTACTGCATCTTGATTTTTATAGCGCAATGTTTTACCTTACTATGGCAATTATTTCAGTAAATAGACCCTAAGTGAGGTTTTATCAGGTGTCACTCGTTGTGAATGTATATTCTCTGTACAAACAAGTTTTTATAGAAACCCTTTTCTCTCTTGTCCCACTGAGCTTACTTTGGTTAAGAGTGAGGTGTTTCTTTTCTCCCTCACCTTGAGGACTCCATTGATCAACATTTGGATACAATACCTAGCTTAAAGCCAATAATTCATTAAAAAAAAGGAAATATGATTGACAAGAATTAAAATGTCAATTAGCTAAACAAAAACTTTATCGGAACCTTAAAACTGTAGCATAAATACAAAGAGAAATTGATGAAAAAATAAAAATATGTAAAAACATGTACACTGTATACTACTCCAGAACATCAAGTAGCTTAACACAAGGCTGATATGAACTTTTGATACAACAAAACCCACCGCAAACAAAAATGGCGGAAAAGAAAAGGAGGAGAGAGACAGGAATTTAGAGTGTGAAGAGGAGAAGGGCTTGATGGGCAGCTCTGCAGCAGATTCACAGTTAGCCACAGCTAGGTCACAGTTGAGATTTCAATCTGCAGCGTTTAGTTCCAGCCTACAGGTAGCCACACAAACCATTTCAGATCAAAACAATATAACAAAAGAAAAAGAAAAAAAAAAACAAGAGACATATTTAAAAATATATACAAGAAAAACAAGAATAGGACATTTTAAAAGTTCTGATGGCATTGCTTGGAGGAAAATGTGTCTTGAGCAACCTTACTTTTTCCCCAGCAGTGAGCTTAAAAGACTATGGGGTTATTATTGGGTTCAGCAGGACCAGACAATCTCAACTGAAACACAGCGTGGCAGACAGCTTTACCCACAGCTAACACTGCCTCCGCAACGAGATGACCTGGACTGAGCCAAGCTGTGCCCCAGTTCTCATATGGGCACCAGTCTGGTTCATCTAATGGTGCAAACCACACATAAAACAGTACCTGGCTACCTCTTGCATTCTCACAACAAAGTGCAAGTGAAGCTTCATCACTTCAGCTTAATAAACATTTACAATCACAGTTTACTAGAAAACCCAGGGGGATGTCGGTCCCTGGTGATTGCCAAAATCGGATTAAGGCCTTTCTAGGCATCAAAATGCCTGTACCGCTAAAACTCTATGGTCAAGTTTTCTCAGATGACTTTAACAGCAACACACAAATTTCCCACCAAAACCTTTCTTGTGCTCATACATCGACGGCAAATATTCATACCTTAAAAGATAAAATTAAAACAAATATTGCATTCTTCACTCAAAGCTAAAGTCATACTTTCCAATGAATTTCTCTTGAGCAAATCTCTCAAAAGAAGTTAAGGAACAGCACACATTCCAAAATTAATCTCTTGGAGCAAAATGACATATGGCTGTTGGCTAATTAAGACGTGTGCAGTGAGACTCCAATGTCCCATTCTATGCATTAAGTACCAACATTCAAATTCCCAATGGTTACTAGATAGTCCCCAAAACAATAGTCAACCACTCTAAGAACTAACATAAGCCAGTATCATCACATTTTACAGCACCAAAAGACTTAATTGACTGAAATTACCTCTTACTTTTTAAAAGTTCAAGGACACAAAAAGGATGTTCTGACACAGAACAATAAATTAATAATCACATCTAATTTCTCTTTTGACACATATGCATACATCTCAATAAACCATATCGCTGTACCAATGCTATGGTAAAGTTCATAAACGCACTCACTCCAGCTTCAACCAAACTCTCTAATGTGTTGAATTTCTAACTGGTGGGTAAAGCTGTCTGGCACGCAATCAAATAACTGACCAATGCGATGCTTGTCTTTTAGGGAGGTTGCACGAGACATATTTGTTTTAACGTTTCACAGAATAATCAATCGAATGTGTAAAAGAAATACGGCCGCTCCTGGGACACCGATGGCATTCCTCAACTCCCCATACCACGTCCCCTCATAATCCTGCAAACCACGTGGGGCAGAAGGCGCTGGCACGACTGTTAATCACTATATGCCATCGTAGGTGAAGTTCTCCATCTTGACTGTTTGTCTGATGAGAAGCTTGGACTCCCGCCGCTCTTCATTCTTGATGGACTTGTTGATATCCATAATCTTTTCACAAATGTATTTGTTCACTTTGGACAATCTCTGTGTAATCTCAGCGCTGTCAGCTGTCTCTTGAGACACTCTGTCGTAGAGACACTCTGTGGAGGGAGTGGGTGGGGGGAGTCAGTCTACATCAGATTACAAACTGTTCCTCTTTTCTTTGATGTCTATGAATGTATTTATATGAATGAATGTGTTAAAAGGGTACCACTTTACAATAAGGCTCCCCTTATAGATGGCTTATAAATAGTTTGTAGATCGGTTATTAATTCATCTGTAGACACTTCATAAATGGTTAATAAGTGTTTATTATTCATTAATTAAGACAGAAAACAGACAAAATTGTACAGTTTCTTGCCAAATATTGAGGCAAATCTGTTCACACATATATTACAGCTAAAAGGTGCTTTAATAAACATTTCAGACTAGTTTACTACATTGTAAGCACAATAATTTATGGAAAACACATATTTTACATGTAATATTGTACTGTATTACCGCATTTTACATATCCACAGTAATCAAAGGGAGTCTTTTTGTAAAGTGTAAAACAGTATACTATTTATTAATGACTAATAATATCATAACAGAGCCTCATAAATTGTGTACTGTTTTACACTTTACAATAAGGCTCCTTTATGGCATTTATACAAGTTTATTAGTCATTAATAAATAGTGTACCTACTGTCTTACATTGTAAAATAAGGCTCCCTTTGACAGTTGTTAATATGCGTAATTCAGTAATATAGTACAATATTATTTTTAAATATGTGTTTCTAATACATAATTGTGCTTACAAACTTAGTAATATGTACACGAACAGATTTGGCTCACTATTTGTCAAGAAACCGGACAGTTTTGTCTCTTTCCTGTTCTTAATTAATCCATAATAAACATTTACTAATGATCTATAAAATGTTTATAGATGAATCAATAACCTATCTATAAACTATTTATAAGCCATCTATAAGGGGGGCCTTATTGTAAAGTGGTACCAATTTGTGTTTGGTAGTTCATTTCTTTTTTGCAACGTTTCTTAGCAATAACTCTTATAGCAGGTACCTGATTGGCAGAACCTGGGGAGTACCAGAAGCTCAAAGCAAGTGTTAATAGCAACAACAAAATAAGCTGTTTGACAATGATGGAGAAGATCTGGCCAATTTTTCATGTGTGCAACCCACATACTCAGCTCTACTGCTCATCCCACAAATGCATGCTCCTTACAAAGGTGGCACCATTTAAAAAGGAAAATAACAGGCTTTCCAACAATATAAGATTTATTGCCTCTAAGCATTGTTACAACAAAGAAAGAATCTACCAAACACACAACGCGTGCCAAGTTTGTCTGTATGTTAGTATCAACAAATTTGAAATTTGAAAAGTCTTTGCCTTCTGAGTTCAAATCCTTTTGATGTCGAAAGTTTATCTTACCTCTGACTATTTTCAGTTTGCTGGGTGACAATGGTGGTTTGGGAAGGGCATCTTTCTTCTTTTTTGTTGCAACTCCTGTGACACTACGATTTTTAAGAGTTTCAGTGCCCCAGATCATCACAGCAAGGTTTTTTGTGAACTTAGAGTCTCCCTGGGTCCTCTGCAGCTGGTGCCACTTCTCTTCCTCCACCCAGATCCCACCACCGAGATGTACCTGCAGACATAACAAAAGGTTAAAGAGACTAAAATGTACCACTTAAAAAGTCTTGAATTTTATTTACAACACAATGTGCTTTCAACAGCAGAGTCAAGACCAGTCTCTTGCCTTTTAGTGACTAAAACACCAGTAAAATGACCAGTCTTTGTTGATGTAAGACCTTGCTTGAATCAAAAAAATTTTATTAATAGGACTAAATGACAAGTAATATAAACCATGGTATACCTAATATTTACTGTTTAATACAACATTCCAGTATATCATTTGAGGAAGGTTCAATGGTATCAAAAAGTGAATGCTACCCAATCCTAACTGCAGCTTTAAACAAGATGGTCCAGTGATGGGCTAATGATAAGTGTGTTGTCCTCTTGTTGGCCCAACAGCCATTTGTAACTCTTAGAGCAAAGCTAATCCCCCTCAGAGCTATCAACCCCGTAGAAACCTAGAGTTTCAGTTGATATAAGGAACTTTGGTCTGAAGTAAATCAACTCTGATACTGTCATGCTCACACAGTATCAATTTTTTAATCTGATAAAAATCTGAAATATGGCTTCAGTGTTGTCACCTCTGCAAATCTGTCAGAGAGAAACATGAACCCTGTCATGTTCCATTTTGAGCACACCTTTACACAATCAAAAAAACAGGAAAGAATAAAAAAAAGGAAAATCTGGAACATTAATCTTTACAGCTACCTGCAGAGTGACAGATTATACATCCAATCTGAAGAAAGAATTAACATTTTCAATCTTACTAATAATGTTAAAAAACAATTGTCTGAAAAGTGCTGAAAAGAGTTGACAAACTGATTTAAAATTTCTCTTGAAATTTAAGGAATGGGACCTTGACAAAAAAATGTGATGATACAAAGTTGATGACAAATTTTTTTGCATAAAGTTACTGTAGCTTGAATAAGTTTCATTATGAGTGCTCTATATGCCCGGTCACACTGCATAAACACAACACACAACTGATTGTCAGGTCAGCCAGACCTGGGGTCTCATTTATAAAGGATTGCGTGGAAACCATACTAAAAGTGAACGAACAGCCAAAAGGCGGAAATGGCGTACGCCAAAAAAAACCCCAAAAAAATTCAGATTTATAAAACCATGCGTACGCACGTTTCTGCGCGCCTTTCCTTTATAAATCACAGCCGCACGCCAGAGTTTGCGCACGAGGTCCCGCCTCAGGTTCCCTCTACACGCCCACATTCAACCATAAACAGTCAATGTAAAGTACCTCATGAATGTTAAGATGTATTTAAATCAGTCAGATGATCAATGTCAACAAAAGTGATTGGTTCAGACACGCTCCGTCGTGTGTCTGGAGGATGACAGGTGCTGACTGACAGCTGCTCACGTGAACAGATTGTCTGTAATTGACACAGATTTTCCCTCATTTTGCTTAAGAGTAATCTAACAATTTTTATAAAAAAAACTCAGCTTCAAATTAATTTTCCCTCAGAGCCTGCAGGACGATAAAAACAATAATAATTAAATTAAATAAGTCAGATAAAATTAAAAGTAAGCCCACCGCTCTTCTCCTCGTCCTCCTGCCTGCTCTGTTATCCGCGGCAGACACCCCCCCACCCCCGGCGTGACAAACACTGACTTTAAACGTGGTTTTATAACATTCACACTGGCGAGGTGGATAGGCCTGTCGCGATAGTCAATAAATCAATTAATCGCACGATAACTTTTTTT